AAAGTGCTGGATGCCTTGTCATACACGACAGGGGTCTCCATCATTGAAATGGCCTTCAACCTTCTCCCTGTAGTCTGCCTTTGCATGCTTGATGGCTCGCTTCAGGTTGGATCTGGAAACACTGTATAATTCACCATTTCCAGACCTGACGGCTGCGTTGCGCTCTTTTAGCCAAAGCTCGACTTCTCTTGTAATCCATCAAATGTGCTTCCTAACGGTAACGCTGTCTATACAGTTCTGTACACAAAACAGGACAGTGGATGTGTACTCCTCTATGTCTTGTTGTGCATAACGGTCCCAGTGTCTGAGCTCAAAACAGTCCTGGAGTTGAACTGAAGCACCATCTGGCCAAGTCTGTATGGTTTTCACAGTTGGCTCTGATTTGCTAATTTGAGGTCCGTCAGCATGGGGTGAGAAAAAGGGATTAGTGGTCGGACTGGCCTAAGTGGGGGAGGGTGGAGACTCTGTGTCCATCCCTAATGTTACTCTACACATTATCCAGTGTGTTTTGGCCTCTCGTTGGACACGTCACATGTTGGTGGAATTTAGGATGGACTCTTTTGAAGTTTGCTTGGTTGAAATCTCCAGCTATGATAAAAATCCCTTCAGGGTAAGCAGTCTGTGGTTTGCCAATTGCGGTTAGGAGGGTGTCTAGTATTGTCTTGGTGTTAGCTCTCAGTGGAATGTACACCACCACAACAATGACGATTGTGAACTCCCGCGGCAGATAAAAAGGTCGGCATCTTACTGTCATGTATTGTCATGTATTGTCATCTATCTATCTATCTATCTATCTATCTATCTATCTATCTATCTATCTACTCATTTGTGCATTAGTGATACTAATTATATACATTCATTCATTATTAAAAAAATATGTGTGGACATCATGTCTACTAGGCAGTACCAGCAACAGTAAAATATCAATAAGACAAGCTGGGGTCACTGGATTTTGCATTCAAAGTCAGTATAATTCCATAAGAGAATTATCAAATAATTTTTGTGAATGGTATTTAATTGGAAAATTGACTTCAGAATGTCCTGAAATACTGATATAATTTGATTTTATTAATGCTAAAAATATTCAGCACTTAATCCCTCATGATTCATCATAAATTAAAGTCCTCAAACTAGGAAAAAGTTCTGAATGAATGTTTCTGTGCTGCCAGGCTACTGTGTGCAATATTTGGCCTATTTGCCATGTTTTCCTATTGACAACCCGGAGAGTGTCCTGCTTGCCATTATCCAAATACTGACCAAGAATCCCAACACCCCAGTACCAATGGCCCCCCATCCCCGAGCCCTGTTCCTCCTTCTCAGTAGCCCCACCTAAATCTGATAACACACCTGTGTGTTTATCTCATGATCTGGTAACTGGTGCGACGACACCTGTATGTGTGGATAGGGGCATATTTAAGACAGGTTTTCTTTAATGGTTTGTCTGTTGAGCGCAGTCATCTAATTGCTCCTCAGTGAAAGACTCTATTGTGTCTTTGAGTGAAGAGTAATTGATAACTTGCACCACCGAGGCACTGGGGCTAACAGAAGCATTCAAGAAATACTTTGGATTTGAAAAATGACAGTTAGTCATGGCATTGGTTATGTAAAGGTGGTTATATAAAGATTTATATCGCATGGAGATTTTAAGTGTACAAATGGTATGTTACACTATTGTGCATGACAGTGATAAAATATTTTCCTCCAATATTCATGGTAAAAGTATTTCAAAGTAAATTGTTTTGCAGGGCGATTATACAAAGCTTTTCACAATTCAGCAAGGTCTCTATGAGCGTCTTTCATTGACCTTGTTTTTGTGGTTATTATACTTTTTTATAAAAATTAAGTTATAAAAAACAGCTAAAAACCATCAGTAACAAAACCGGTCCTGAGATATGCTAAGCAAAGCCATCAGAAAAATACTTTTATTTAGGTGTGATGTCATAGTTGATCCGTGACTTTAATGAAGTCAGGGCTTACATAAAAACTGCATATTTTAAGTGTGACCTGACCTGACTCGTGATGAATGATTGTCTCACCTTAAAAATGGTTTCATAATGAGTCATTTCGGACTGGTACTTTACATGTAAAGTGTCAAGACCGTATGGTTGCTGATTCTGAATGTGATAACATTTGTTTTTAAAAAGTGTGCGTCTTGAATATACAGTTTTGTTATCGTTCTGTATTAGACACAAGGTTTTCAAACCACAAAAGGAAATTTATAAATGAAAGAAGATATTTAAAATGTTTTAATTTGTTTTGTTACTCTTCTTTTGGTTTTTACTTTCCATTTGTACCAGGAGTCAGGCGCTTATACATCACAATCACTAATTGTTAATAGGTGTCACGCCCTGCATTCCTTCCCCCTCGTTCTCTCCATTGTGTGGCTCTAATGAGCCACACCTGTAACCTCTCGTTACAGCCCTTGTGTGGATCACCCCAGGTGCCTCTCGTCTGCTCCCTCGTCAGTCATGTATATAGTGCCTCCCTGTGTCAAGCTCCCCAGTCCAGTCACTGATGTTGCGTAGTACTTGTGCTACCTAGCTTGCCCTGTGTCCTGTGCTCCCTACTCCCTACTCCCTACTCCCTACTCCCTACTCCCTACTCCCTACTCCCTACTCCCTACTCCCTACTCCCTACTCCCTACAGCATTTTGACCCCTCGTGGTCCATTTCTTTTTGTCTGTGGTTTCATTTAATAAAGCCCCTTTCGGTTTTCCTTAAACCTGCCTTTGTCTCCATCCTTGCCTTTGATGTAAGAATAGATCATTGGTTAGGTTTATTCACGAATCAGATTTGAGAATTTGAAGACACTTCCAGTTTGGGATTGTTATTGTCTGAACAAATTAAAAATGCACTGTTGGAGAAGAGCAGGGAGGTATTCAAGCAATACAACCAAACATAGTTTCAAAAATCTCTGGGCAAGTGCCCTACTCTATCAGTCAGGCCATTTTGGCTTTACAATGCCTGTTTATTTATGTACTCACATAAAGAAAGGCAGGCTAGGGGAACAGGATTTTTATAGCTAGGCACTAAGTAGAATTAGACCAACATATTAATGTGTCATACCAGAAGGAAATAGGTATTAAATTGATTAAAATTGAGAAAGAAGCAGTTGATGGAATGCAATAAAAATAGCTAATAATCTAATTCACTCAACTAAAGTCAAACACGTTGCACTCTCAAGGGTCATTTCAATAAATCTGAAGTTTCACTCTAAAGTGGAACAGGAGAAATGAACTGAAATAGTTGTCTATTGGAATAGCAAGTTTGACAATTTCCTCCCAAAATGGAAAGGGGAAAAAAAGGACTGTCAAATGTGAGGTGTTGTAAATGACAGTTCGGAATTCTCTGACCAGGACTGCTCTTTTGGAAAAAAATGACCAGGCAGATCTTTAAATGGTGAAATATTATTTCGGGAGAAATAATTGGTGGCTAGAATACAGGCATTAATCCCGAAGTGTTGTGTTCATACACTTGTTCCTGGGCAAAACTGCGGTGCCATTCAATTACTGCACAAAGGCTGATAAGCCTCAGTCCTTGATGCTGGTCTGTGGAGCAGACGTACAATGGCTTCGTGTCGTTAGCTTACCAAATGAGAGCGCAGTACTAGCAAAAAGGGTAAGAATGAACTTGAGGCACAATTAAAGGGGTCACAGGGTGTCAGACTGAGAACCCAGACAGCGCAATTATCCATAGGGAAGGCCTTTTCTGCATAAACACCTAAAAGTATCCAAGCGCTATTTGTTTTTGTATGTCTATGAAAGGCCATTGCTTGACTGATAAGAGGTGACATGTTTTTGTGTTTGTCTAATGCATTCTGACTGTTAATGTTTTCCTTTCATGTGATATGTCAAGTGATTCACCCTTTGCACAGGACACATTTGCAGGAATAATGGTCATAGAATTGGGTTCTGCTTCATGGACAGCGAGTGAGTTTAATCCGTCTTTATTTTAGCACATGTCAGGCACAGTTGGATCCCTTGAATGGTAGTCAAGCGGACTGGATTCCTATTCTGGTCTATCTGTCCTTTCAATGCCAGGAGACATTTTTTTCAGAAGCCAGCATTGCAGTGTCATCCACAGCTAAGCTAAGGACCAGCAGGTTTAGGTGATGCTCCTCTAAGCTTGTGGGAGTTTTACTTACACAAAAAATGTTCTGAGGGCAGAACAAGAACAAAATGATCACAGAGATAAACAATCAGGTTGTAGAGGTGGAGGTGGGACCAAGCAACTAGAGAAGGCGGGACCAACCAATCAGATGTCTTGGACCTGCCTCCCCTAGTTCTTTGGACCCACCTCCTCTACAATCTGATTGGTTATCTCTCTGAATCAATCATTTTTCCTTCTGCCCTCATCTTTGTGTAAGTAAAACTCCCAAAAGCTCCACTAACGCTTGCATTGGGCAGTTAGAGCAGCTTTGTTTGTATTGCATGAGGTAACTGCTTGGGATTCAGCAGCGTCCAGCTTAGTTGCAGGAATTCCATTTGGGCCCTAGGTATCCCACATTCCCTCCACACCGGCTAAATGCTCAGAGCAAAGTAAGGAATGGCAATTTTCTAATCAAATATCCACTTTGACATGTCACGCCGTTCAGTGAACTGGCTATGAATGATTGTCCTCATGAAAGAAACAATATTGGGAAAAATCAAGCCATAAAAGTGTTTTCATACTTCATTTATTCTCATCTCTTGTCTCCTCCATGGGTAAGCATAACATTCGTGTCTGGTTCCAAAGTAATTTTAATGATCACTGCATTGTTCTTTTGTTAATTACTACTTATTCCGTAGTTCTAATGTATAAAGTATCTCTAGCCCAGGTGACAAGGCCTCATAATCTGAAAGTTTCCATCCCAGATAGGGCCCGCAGTGGTACACCTTAATCGATGTACTTAACTCAAATTGCACCAGTAAAATATCTGGATAATTCTGGATTTTATCCAAGCACAATTACAGCCGATGATTAAACCAGATGTGACCCCCCCCCAGCTCTCGAGAAGCTTACTGGTGTTGTCCGTGTAAAGCCTGAGGAGATCTCACACGGCTCTTTGAACATCCACCTCAGCCTCTGTTCATGTTGGGAGACAGAGAACAAACACAGGCTGAAAATTTACATAATTTGTACAACTGTATCCCGCAGAAAAACACCTCTTGAAACACATTAAATATACTCTCAATTAAATCGATTAAATATGTATCTCCCACGTAAGACTCTGGACACCTGAATTAATGTTTAATTTAGAATTTTAATTTCTCTTCTGCAGTATTTAAATCTCCTTTGGAGACATTTTTATCGTTTGCCTTTTGTCTGTGTGCTTATTTTTATTTCCCCTCAGCTGTCTGGTATTTTCACCTACCTCATTATTGCAGTTCTGAGATGTGCTTTTTCTCTCTCGCCAAAAGAGGACGGAGGGTACGTTTGATTGACAGCTATTTAAGATTAATTCTTGCCTCTGATCGGATCTTGTCTACATTATCTGTCTCTGGCCCTGTTATAACTCCCGGGCAAACATATTTCCTAGTTCAGCCATGGGTAAAAAACAGTTGAAGGACAGACAGCAACAGTACGTGATACGAAACGTCTTTGATTTGTCACAAATTTGTATAATATGCATTACTTTACAAGGGAAACAATTTTAGGGGACAAATTAGGAAGTTACTCGATACAACTTTCTGGGATTTGATGTTAAATGTATAAAGTATTATTCAGATAAATGATAAATGTTTTTATAGTATTATATATATATATATATATATATAGAGAGAGAGAGAGAGAGAACCTTTTATTCTATGACGAGTTAAAGGATGGCTTTTCTTTCTTATGTCATGAATGTAAATGAAACTGACTTAAGCTGTAGATTTTGTTAGCATAGAGGTGCCTCATCCAGTCAATCCTTTAAAAGATCACCTTTTTAAGTTTGTTAGATGGGGCGCTTTGGCCCTGAGGCAGAGGTATAAAGCCTGTTCTATTCCTTTTTCATGAAAAACTGCACAGTCCTGGGGAAAAGTATGTCCTCCGGGTCGCCCTGGGGTTTTCCGGGAATCCGCCATGCCACGGTGATATTCAGCGGCAAGGGAGCAGCATCCTTCTGTCCCAGGAGATGCAGCATGGCGCCCTGGTGACCCCTTTCTTGCGCACCTTATGCTACACGAGTTTGCACTCACACTGCAGACCACGGCGTTGATCTATTTACCAGGTACCTTCTGAACCTGGAATCTTGCCGCCCAACTTGTGAATACATTTCCAGGAGTCAAATAGAGGGAAATTGCTCATACAGCTTCCACTGTACATCTACAGTCTAGAAGCCCATTCCATAACTCATTTTCAGCACAAGTAATTGCTATAATATTCATGTCTCCACACAGCCTCATAAAGAATGTATGCGTTCTGTGTCATACCCAGTAGTACTGATGAAAATTCAACAGGGTAAAAGCTATGTTTGTCAGATCTGAATCTCCCACTATAAACTGTGAATAGTTCATCATTCTCTTTTAAACATTCAGTTCATCACTCTCAACATATGCTTTATTAAAAATAAATGATTATACAGGGCATCTCTCATTTATCTCTTGTCTACATTCCTGTAATGTAATTTCTTAGCAAGTGAAATATCCAATTTTGTTTCTTATATGTTGCTGGTGTCTTGTGTACCAAAATTTGTTGTTAAATTGCATCAGATTTATCCAAATATAATGGAGCAGCAATGTCTGTGCAGACAAACATGCGTTGGAAAATGGGTTAAAAAGGGTTATTTTTTGTTGTTTTGCCAAACAACATGTTGTGTTGCCTGCACTTCGTTTAATCACAGAATAGCTCTGAACTGGAAGTTTCGGGATGGTGCTCTCATTTAGGCTGACCGGTGAGCTTCGTTCAGATATATTCACATATTCGGTTTCATGTTTAGTTTCTGGGTCTGTGGAGCTGGTTTTTCATTTTTTATTTCTGAGTTTTGTTCAGGGTTGCGGTGTCTCATCGCCTGTTTACGGTTCTGTGTGCCGCGTGCTTTTTTCAGCTTAGCGATTCTAGTTATCTGCCATCTTGTGTCAGATTTGATCCTTCTTGGTAGCCGACTTCTTGCATCTGCATTTGCGGTTTGGTTGGCTGGAATTCTGCGGACTCCCCCTTTTTCTATTTCCGGCCCATTTGCAGGTCCCTGATCCTGATCCTGATTCTGCTTGTGATCCAGAGTCTGCATCACACACACTTCATCCTGGATGTTCTATTTTGACGTGTCATGGACTCTGCTTGTTCTAGAAATCATTTTCCCCCAGAATGCTCTGAGTAACAAACCAACATGTCACATTTATTTATTTATTTCTTGAATACATTTCACTGTGTCAACAGATGAAGTTTCAATGAGCTTTATATTTTCTCTTGATGTATTGTTCTTGACAACTGAGCAAAACTGCATATCAAGTAGCAAGAGGCTAGTGTTGTGGTTCAGGAGGTGTAGAATGAGTTACCCATGAGGAAGGTCTTTAGGCTGAAGCGTACGTAGATGGACACAAACTGCCAGCATGTTTGGCTAAAATTGCCAATGTGAATACAGGTAGTACAAGGACAGGAAGCGCAAAATAACAGGAAGCCTAAAGAAACTTTTGCATCCCATCATTTAAAGTCTTTGCGATTTTACTCATTCATACAGCTGGATATTTCAGGTTTTATTGCTTCCCCCGAGGCCATGGTGATGCTGTATAGAGGACCGCCAGTCATCCTTTCCCAGGTTTGAACCACCATTTTCGAGAAATGCCAAGAAGAAAGTACTGTTTCAGGACTTCAGGACAAGTTAATTGCATTAAGATTCAGTGGTCAGTCCACAAAGACAGAAATGCAAATGTGTGCATGTGTTACATTACAATTGGCTGGTGTTCTGTATTAGCTTTTCCGGGAACTGAAACTTTAACCTGAAGTACTTACCACCAAGTTCTGCTCATAACACAAAGAGAAATATAGCACTGAAGCTGGGCCGAGATGCTTAAGAGTCAGACATTAAGAGTGCCTCCGATCCGTGTTTATCTTCTCTGGTTTTATGTTTTCCAAAGGTCAGGGGAAATTGTGTCGTTAAATAATGAGCTGACACGCTGGAGGAAATCGAGGTCCCTGTGCTGAGCATTGTGACGCACTGAAGAGATTCTCGGCAGCTGGCTGTGATAGGAAATGGAGACCATACAGAAATGTCTCATGCAGAGTATTTTACTCTGAGCACAGCAATCCATTCTGCCGCAGAAGTCATTTACCTCATCCAGTCCAGGCAATAAAATCTCCATATCTGAAGGCATCTGACAGTAATTTGGCAGCGTATTTGATTTTGTTCTACAGTAAATTTTGTTCTAGTTATTTAGTTAAGAGTTTTTGTTCCCTCTCTATGTAAAATTATCAGGACTGTTGAGAAATATATTCTTAACCCAGAAAATATACCTTTTTGATTATAGGGAAATGGGAAAGAAAATCAGAAAATCGATACTAGTAAAATTATATTATTTTTAATCATAGTGTTTTTTGTTCTTTATAAGTCTGTAAATGTGAACCAATAGGAAAGAAATCTGTGATGAGTTGGCATCCCATCTAGCACGCAGCCCCGCCTGGGGTAGACTCTGGCCCAACGCGAAGCAGATGGATGAATGAAAGTGAAATATGATAAATATTCCAACATAGTGTGATATTACAGCCTCACTCAGAATATTAGGGCATTTTTGACAACATTACATCAAGATATGTACTGTGAATCACTTGACTGGGGTCATAACATTCTATCAATGGCATCTACTTTCCCTCTATAGCTGGGCAAAAATAACTGTTTGAAACGCATGCTGAAAATTCGGTAATATTTTGCTTGAGGGGGCACAAATACTTAGCATTAACTCAGTTACTACTGAAGAACAAATCATGAACAAATCATGAACAAATATAGTCGCTACTTAAGATTAGATGCATCGTGATTCATTAATGGATCAACAAACACGAGATCAGTATTTCACGTGTTTTTTATTACTTGTTCCTTCAATAGCTCCTTAGTAGTTCCTTCAGTAGTTCCTTCAGTAGTTCCTTCAGTAGTTCCTTCAGTAGTTCCTTCAGTAGTTCACTAGGTTTGACAGAATTAATAGATACAGTAACAAATATAGAACCTACTTAGAATAAAAGAAACATCATGATTGATGAATGATGAACAAACATGACATCAATTTGTAACTAATACTTAGTTTGTGGTTAATTAATGCATAAGTAATAGTATATTACTACATTATTTGTGTACCCTCAATTCTAATTCATTTCAGTCTGAATCAGTGGCAGTGGTTGTATTTTTTCAAATACCCAAACCGAAACATATACAGTATATGGGGCCCTGATAGTTTCGCTGTATGTAATCTAGTCATGATCCAGATATACTGTGGATTCGATTCGATTCGATTAGATTAAACTTTATTGTCATTGTACACGTATGATGTGCAGTTTAGCATCTAACCAGAAAGTGCAGATAGTAAAATAAGGTGCAATAGACAGTGGGTGCAAATACTATGTTATGGTGCAATAACGCAGCATACAAATTAGAATATAAATATATGAATTTTGAATTTACAGGTAGTATTCACAGGAGTAATATATGCAAGGGAGAGTATACAGATATGAGTAGTGATCAATTTGTATAGATATGTGACATACATGATATATGAATAAATGTATGAAGTATTTTACACACAGGATAGATATATGTAAGCAGGTGAAATATACATAAAGTGCAGCCGGAAGTGTTTGATATTTAGAAAGGTCAGTTATTGAGTGGTGATGTTTGAGAGTTCAGAATGGTGATGGTTTTGTGAAAGAAACTTTCCCTGATCGCTGTCTGATTAAAATGGCATGCATCCACTCTTTAATGATTTTTTTTAGGTGACATTTTACTATAGATGGAATATGCCCATTCTCTTCTGTCTGTGTTTCACCAATAAAAACATGTTTCATGAAGTCATCTATTTATTAGTTTTTACATTTGTACTAGTTAGGATTTGTATTCATGGTCATTTGTATTGACCACTTTATATCTCTAATTTAAATACCTTACCTTTAATAGCTAGATAGTTAATGAACGTCATTGTTAACTGCAAATATAAAGCAAGATTAGTTTGTATATTGTTGACAGACATATTTGCTTCTCCGACAACAGTCTACGTGTCCATTTAAAACGTTAAACCGTTCACTGACAGCTGTGTAAAGACTGATTTCCATTTGTGGTGCAAAGGGAGTCTCGTGACATTGTTTTAAATGTATTTTGTAAAGCAGTTTCTGAGAAAATGTGTTTTTTAATCTCCTGAAATAAAGGATTTTTGGAGTTGTCAAGTAACGATAACTAACCTTGCAAACAAGTTCTTACAAACCAGTCTTCAAACACCAAGATATTTCCTTGCTTTTTACACGTGAATAGTACTCATGCATGATTGTGGTTGCCCATGCGTATATAATGAACATAATTTGTAATTCCAACATAAAAATCACATCATTTCAGAATAATTCTAATTTTTCAGCAGAGAAAATGTTATTTTCCTTCTGGTTTGACTTTAATGCAGAATCTGCCAGCCCATTAATTGAAGAGTCCGGAAGCCCATGTGTACCAATATTAAAAATGTCAGTCTGCCCCCTTTCATAAACTACATCTGGAAGGAATATAAAACAGTTGCAATGATTTATAACATGTAGTGATTTTTATGATGCACACCAGAGCCCACGTGTCACCACTTGTGATTTATCTTAATGTAATCTGATTTACACATGTATACTGTCATGCCTTCTTAGCACGGCCCTCCATCCTATTTCACCCACGATTCTCCTCTTTCCTTTCAGCCATAGAAATCTGGGTAATGCTTAGCATTGACAGTGCACCTTCATAATGCCTTTATAATGCATTCATAGAACATTCAGTACACCTTCATAATGCCTTTATAATGCATTCATAGAACATTCAGTACACCTTCATAATGCCTTTATAATGCATTCGTAGAACATTCAGTACACCTTCATTTTGCCTTTATAATGCATTCGTAGAACATTCAGTACACCTTCATAATGTATTCATCCTAACACACCTTTAATGTACATTAATCACAAACATTATGCTATAATAAAAAAGATAATTGTATAGTCATATAATGTTTATTAAAGGATATTAAAACTGTTAAGGCATGTTAGATGTTAAGGTATACTTATATGCCTATGAATGTTCCATGAATGCATTATGAAGGTGCACTGAACGTTCTGTGAATGCATTATGAAGGTGCACTGAACGTTCTGTGAATGCATTATGAAGGTGCACTGAATGTTCTGTGAATGCATTATGAAGGTGCTAGTTACCAAACTCCATACCATCCCTTTAAACATCAGCCTCCGTCCCTATTGTAGCGGAATCCTCTTCCCCGACTGGGAATGTCCTCTAACTGCATGAGATATCCGGCTCCATCTCTGTCAGCCTTTCCTAAAGCTAAAAATTCCACTTCCTCCTCGCATTTCCTGGTCTGTTCCGGTGAAAGGGGGAAGCGAGAATTCTTACCAACATGCACATGAATAATCAACACAGAGCCCACTTCAAGGGGAAAAAAAAGAAAAAAAAAATCTTACCTGCTTGCTCCTGTGCGGAACTGGAAATATCGTTTCTTCATGTTTCAAGTTTGAAGATCAATCCTAAGACTAGGAGAAAAGTACAGGGAGGCGTGAATGAAGTTATTTTTTATTCCGCTACCAGCAGAATAGGATCACCAGCTGCTTGCCGTTAACATAACCTGCATAATAATGACAATGTCTGTGTAAGTAGCAGCAGATTGAAATCTCTGCACGGCAATAGAAAGCGTGATGCATAGGAGAACACACACATCACCACTGGCGATTACCTTAATGTAATCCGATTAACGCAGGTACACTGTCATGTCATTCTGAAACTAATCAGAATTGTCATTACCAAAATAAAACATGTTGGTGGGATTTTTCTTTTTTTTCCTGCACCTTTATAGAGTTTATAGAGTTTTATGGAGAGTTTTATTGTCATATGAAATTCTGACTTTGCACATCCTTTCCTCCTTTCACATATGGGGTGGGGGAGGGGTGAGGGAGGGGGGTCTAACAGGCTTATAGGCTATTTAGGAGGTTGGACCAGAAAAAAATGGAGACAGAAGGAACAGGGTTCTTAGGTTCCAGGTTACTGGGGGGAAACAACTACCGACACCAATCTAAACATCCTGGAGGGGAAAATGAGGCTGGATGATATAAATGTACCCCATCGACTTGCACCCCCCCTCCCCTCCAACCCGCCAGACTTATGTACCTATGAATGATTTGCCTTTTAACCCATATTAAGGAAGTTCAGGTATTGGGGTTATGGAGAGACAATGTCCTGGATCTTAACAAAATATGTAGATGTGAGCAGCCCAGCCCTCGAGCTGCTGGGGCCGAAAGGCCGGTGACATCAAAAATGAGCTGAAATGATGAACCTTCAAACAAACTGAAACGGCGAAGAGACAATTAAAGAAAAGCTGAAACATGAGCTGGAATGATGAACCTTCAATCAAACTGAAACAGCAAAGAGACAATTAAAGAAAAGCTGAAACATGAGCTGAAATGATGAACCTTCAATCAAACTGAAACAGCGAAAAGGCAACTAGAAACATCTTGTAAGATGATCATTTGCTTTACATGCGCTCATTATGTATCTGTGGCACTTCTGTTGACCTCTCTAGAGGTAAATGAGAATATTGCTAACACTTTACTTTAAGGGGTCATATACACTGCCCGGCCATAAAGAAAGTCGCCATTTGAATTTTTCATTGGACGGCCTTTATCTTTGATTATGGCGCACATTTGTCATTACATTGTTTCCACAGGCTTATGCAACATCTCACCCTTTATTTTCATCCAGATTTGCATTCATTTCTCACCAAGATCCTGTATTGACAAGTTAGTTGAACCACTCCATAAAGCCTCCTTCAGCACATCCCAAAGACCTTCAATGAGGTTAAGGTCACAACTCTGTGGTGACCAAGTCATGCGTGAAAATGATTCCTCACGCTCCCTGAACCACTCTTTGACAATTCGAACCCAATTAATCTTGGCATTCTTGTCCTGGAATATGCCCATGCCAACAGGGAAGAAAAAATCCATTTATGATGGATGGAGGTGTAACCTGGCCAGTAGATTCAGGTACTCAGCTGACTTCATTTTATTGCTGCATAACGTTGCTGAGCAGTCATTGGCTCTTAAGTATTTGCTGATATAAATTCAAACGGCGACTTTTTTTTAGCCGGGCAGTGTAAATGCATTATACATACCCTCATAATGCATGTTGATACATTCATGAAGTATTACAAACACGTCCAAAAATATTTATAAAAAGGCATAACACATTTTTATTAACACATACTGTCTGTTATAATGCATTTTGAAGGCATTTATAGTGCATTGTATATGAGCGCATTCATAATGCATAATAAACATGCCTATAATATGTTATGCCCTTTAACATGTCGTTATGACTTGTGAAAAGGCCCATTAGGTTAGGATGCTATTCCTGTGATTGGAAGGTCAGTGGTTCAAATCCCTGGGTCAGTAGAATGATGTCACCATTGGGACACTGAACAAGGCCCTTAACCACCAAGTGCCTCTGGGACTGGCTGACACAGCTTCTGCTGAATAAATATAAAAGCCAACGAGATTCAAAATACTGTGATAGAGGTGCCTGGTGTTTTGGTTCAAACATGAAATGAAGATGCGTTGAATGTGATATCTGACAGACAGAGATCTTAGGACAGTGAGGATGGATAATCAAGGTCTACATGCAGCGAAAAACAGCCCTGTCTTAACTTAGAGGAGCGAGAGTGAGAAATGTCAATAGTAATCGTGAGAAAGGGTTATCAGGAGGCGAAAAAAGTCTGTTTTTCATCCCTCTGAGGAGCCGCCTGGCTGAGAGGTTTGAGAATAAACTGTGGAAATTTGGACCTGAGCAGCAAGCATGAAATTGAATGCTGGTTACAATGGCGTGAATGGAAGGGATCTGCAGACAGCTTTTTGTCAGAACAGTAGAGAATGAATGCAGATACAGTGGCGATTAAGCCTGGGCGAAGGGGCAGACCTCAAGAGGAACAAAGGAACCGAAAATGGGTTCCTGGCAGGTTCCGTGCGGTTCCAGGCTGGATTTAACAAGGCCTGTCCTCATATGACATTTGGTAGAGAACAATAATTGCTACAGATCCTAAGGTGAAGGACATTTCCAGAGGGCTACAGTCAGCCTAAATACTGACACTGAACTGTGATGAACAGCAGTTTAATTGCAGAAAAAAATCTATAGTGCTTTGTATACTACATGTATAATGGATAATCAAGTCATATGCTTAACCAAAGGTGTAATATAGCTGGCCAAATAATAACCTCTGTTTATAAAAGTCACAATTACTTGGTTGTCATGGTGATCAGTGATCTATTTGCGGGAATAACTGAGCCCCAAATAGCATAGACAACATGTTAAAGTTGCGGGTGAGATGTAGCTTTGTTTTGTACCGTAGCAAAAGCTAGACGGCTCTCTCGCCAAGTCACGATTCATGAAAACAGTTCCCGAAAACCAAGACGGCGGCATCAGTGCATACAGAAAGTCTCCTAAACATCATGATAGGAGGTGTGCGACTGAGAGGCAGACATGCTATGGGGGGGAGTGAATTCGGGTGCCTGAGCTATCTATTATTTACAGGTGCGACACATGAAGTCAAGAAACAGACCGAGAAAGTCGAGTGGCTGCAGATGAAACTACCAGGGGAAAAGCAGCACAGAGCAAAAGACGTGTTCACAAATAAACTTAAAAATTCAAACAAATAAAAATGAATAACATTTTTTATAAATGAAACAATGATAGTATTTATAAAAATCAAAGGAAATGGTCGAGACGTGCTAGCGTCAATTTACTTCCGCTGTTAGTCCTTGATAGGGCCGTAATCTCGTGTATGGATTAAAGAACTGCCTGAGGCCTCGCTGCTTTTAATAACACTGACTGCTGACTGGCACTTACGCCAAACCCACTGACAGCGATTCATGAGATTCTACGCTCCGCTCTCGATGCCCTGGCGAGCACCTTCAGCTGTGCCGTAGAGGGACGGCGGCGCAAGTTGAGGAGCTGACAGCTGTCAACCCAGAAGCTGGGTTCACTGCTGAAAACATGCCTGTCTGACCTGGTCATGGGCTGAACCGGATCACATCAGATACAGGCGCCGTGTTCGAGAGTCAGCATCTGAATGCAGTCACCCAGGAAGCTAGTGGACACCACTTGATTGAAAAAAAATGGCATTGGTGCTCAGAAAGACAGCAATGTACACTTTGGAACTTATTCATTTTGTCTTATCTGTTGATTTATTTCTAAACCAAGAAAGCCTTCATTGCCTTCCTTACTCGTTAATACTGATAAATTCAAATCTGGTCAACTGTTTTTGGCGACAGTGTAGCTGTTTGGGATCATTATCTTAAGGTTGCTGGTTTGAGTCCCATAACAATTAGTGTCAACTAAGCAATGAAACATTTTCTCACTAGGTAGAGGCATACCTAGACTCTGAAAAGAACACATAAGTTTAAGCTCCTTGACCTAGCCAATAGCTACATAATTAGCACGATGCTAACGATGTACTATAGCACGGCATAAGGATCAGAAAGAATCGTGCCTTTGACTGTAACTACAGAACCTGACCTGCATACCAAATACCAGTTACTCTTCACCCCAGTATCTGTGGTTTTATTACATAAAACTGAGAAAGGAGAACAAAAAGTGGGCTGATTATGTAATTTTATTCACGTTTTTTCCTATTCACATTTCTATTCATGTTTTTTTTTGACTAACAAGTCTATGAAAGCAGCAAAAGAATATTCTAGGTATTTAAAGAAAAGAGAGCCTGTTAGAAAGGCCCAGCTTCCAGACAAAACCCCTGAGACTGACTAGAACACAGATAGTCAATAAATACAGATTCAAAACGATCAGGTAACATGTAGCACATTTTTTGTTTATTAAAGAAATGTGTTTTTCTTGAAGGGTTTCGAATTTACCCCCCTCCATTTCCTACTTTCTGTCCTCACTTTGTTGTTCTCCACAGGGCACATTTGATTTTTTTTCCCCCTTGGAAAAGAGACACACAAAAGATACACACTGCAGTGTTGCGGCAGGTACAGGCACTAAAACGGTGACGTGTTACAATAATGCTGAAATAACTTCTCATACTCAACAATCTGACAGGGCATCGGACAGCAGGAGAGCATAACCCACCATGGCACCATCATTCGGGTGACAAAATGATCTGGGAGAGCCCACTCAGTTAGCAGCCGAAAACGCCTAAGTGCACTGATGTCTAACACGAGATAGGTGGAAGTGAGCAGGAGAAGACTGTACTGCAGGAGAAACAGGAGAGTCATCTCAAGGTGGATAAGAAATTGGGGGAAGCTCCCTGGGACCAACGCCAGATGGAAGAACCATCTGGAGAACTATCTGTAGAACCTCGAGAGAGGTCCTAGAGCCCGACAGCATTGACTACAACATGGATATTGGGGATCTCCTCTCTCCAGAGGGACAGCCCACATCGACGGACCCTTCTTACGGTAAGAGCAAAGGCTCACGACTCCCAAGAGGTAGAGCAGCTTCTGTAGTATCGATCAAGCAAC